AGATAGATAGATAGATAGATAGATAGATAGATAGATAGATAGATAGAGAGAGAGATCTGTTGCTCCTTTTGCTACTACAAACTTTTTTTGTTAATCTACCATATTACAGGGGCTTAACCATAGTTTTTACTATTTATTTTAGCAATCAAATCTGTAATTGCCTAAAACCCCACATGCTTAACAAATGGAAAAAGTCCATTAAGCAAAGGTTCATTGTAGGCGATTTTGTTTTGAAGACGATAACCGGAAGCTGTGTGAGTTTCACATCTGGCTTTACATCTGGAGCGCTACGGACTTGTTGCCCTACCTCCTCCTCCTCCCTTCTTTCCACTTCTCTCCCCTCACGTCCCCTCTCCGGCAGCGGCTCCCTCTCCCTCTGGTACCTTTTTCCGGGTTCCCTGATGGATTCCTGCAGATCCTTCGAGCTTCTGCTCTTCCTTCACGTGGCGATCTGCAGTCCCGGCCCGCTGGTGGATGTGGTGGTGGACCGCTACCACATACCCAGGAGCTGCCCCCGAGAGGTGCAGATAGAGGACTTTGTCCGCTACGATTTCAACGGGACCTTTTTCGAAGATGGGAAAAAGTTTGACTCCAGGTAAAGTTACGACAACACGAAAACAAACACACAGAAAAAAAAGAAAAAAGAAAAAAAAAGACTTTGCATACTAACTTTCGAGCTTCCAGTCACATCGTGTAATCTCATCTCTTACAGACATTTTTAAGAATAACACATAATGGTCACAGTTTTTTACAGCCAAGATAAAAAATAAATAAATAAATCAAAAAGTGCAGACGTGTCAACATGATTGCAGTTGGATGCATCATCCAAGACGTCACGGTGGTGGGTTTCCACAATGGAGGACGACAAAGGGAGACATTCTTTTTTTGGGGGGGGGGGGTGTTTACCATGCAAACATCCATCCCAGAGGTCAATGGGCGAGAGGCGGGGTCACCGTGTACCATGGCAGGGTGACACAGAGACACACAAGGACAAACAACCACGAATACTCACAGGGCAATTTGGAATGTCCAATCAACCTAACATGCAGGTTTCTGGACGGTGGGAGGAAGCCGGAGAACCGGGGAGAACATGCAGACTCCACACAGAAAGGTCAGGGTGGGGCCTCGAACCCGGAACCCCCTCCATCAGCCTCCTCACCATCACACCACTGCCATGCAAACGTATACGTGCATAGGCATTTGTCTGGATTTTCTGGATTTTCGTCTGGTCGTGACACATTTCTGCTCTCCACCTTTGTGCTCCTGCAGCCACGACAGGGGCAAAGCCTTCATTAGCCAGGTGGGGCTGGGCAGGCTGATCACAGGGATGGACCGGGGCCTGCAGGGCATGTGCGTGGACGAGCGCCGGAGGATCACCGTCCCCCCCCACCTGGCGTACGGCAGCATCGGCACAGGTGCGAGCCCACGCCCGTGCACACCCGTGCACGCCCTGCCGCCGACTCTGGTGGGTCATTCTAAACCCCTAACGCTGCTGCCCCCCCCCCTCCCCCCAGGTGGAGTGATCCCCCCGGACGCGGTGCTGGTGTACGACGTCCACCTGCTGGACATCTGGAACGCCGAGGACCAGGTGCAAACCCGCACCCTGGTCAAGCCCCCCGACGGCTGCCGGCGCGTGAGCGCGGCCTCAGACTTCATCCGCTGCCACTTCAACGGCACCCTGCTCACCGGGGAGGCCTTTGACTCCAGGTAAGCCGGGCTGAAGCCCTCCACCCTCTCCCCTCCCCCCAAAACAAATCTCAGCTTCTTCCTTCTGCTTCTGAGCTGGCCCCTTTGGGTTGAACTTTTTACTCAGTTACTGGAGAAACGGCACCTATGACACCTACCTGGGACAGGGCCACCTGATCCAAGGCCTGGACCAGGGGCTCCTGGGAATGTGTGTCGGGGAGAGGCGGACCATCATCGTCCCACCTTTCCTGGCATTTGGAGAGAAAGGCCACGGTAAAGCGCTGTTATTTAAGATGGATGCCGCATTAACTTTTTCTTGTTTGCCACATAAATAAATCTGATATCCTGTTAAATAGATAATGTGTCATGGATTAGAACTATTTTACAGCAGAGTTTGTAGTTATTGTTCACCATCCTGGATTTTAGATTCAGACCCATTTATCTTTATTTCAAGTTTAAAAGAACTCACAGAGGCCTGAGATCAGTCTTTTTGATTAGTATTTCTTCTTGGGATTTTATTTCCTTTTTCTCTTTCATATACAAGAATCACTGTCATTCTGATAAGCACACCCAGACAAACAAGAACTGAATCGGGACTGTGTGCATCAGAGTTGATTCAGGAAATCTGAGGTGATTCCTAACCAGAGAAATCCTCACTTTCTGTACTATGAAATATTGTTGTACAGTAAATCAGAGTTGGAAGCATGTTAATGGAACTGTGGAAATGTATTTCTACAGTGAATCAAAGAATTTGTTATTCAAGACCTCAAGCTAACTTGGTCTTTCCTTTAAAACATTGAAAACAGCTAGACACTGATAATATGCTGCCATCAGTGGCCGTTTGCTTGCTTTCTGTCTTACTGGGAGCTTGCTTTTCTGAGCATAGAGATGTTCTCCACATGCATGCATGTCATGTAGGTGTCACATTGTTTTTTATGTCTGGTGGAGGTGGAAGCTTCTGGGGACTTTGGGATAGAGCCGGCTGCAGGGTGGCGTGTGAATCTCTTCTAAATTATGGGCTTTGCTGCAAGTTACACTTTCCAAACACAAAAGATGTGACTTGCAGTTGTGGGGAGACTGCTTTTAGAGAGCTGCGATTAAAGTAAATCTCCTGCTGCCGAGTCGTTAGGCCTGTTGAATTATGTCCGTGGAAAAGCTTAATGACAGAGATGTAAAGGCTGACTTCTTCCCAACAGGAACAAAGATCCCCCCTCAGGCCACCCTCGTCTTCGAGGTGCTCATGGTTGACATTTTTAACCCAAAGGACGACCTGATCGTGGAGGTGAAGGAGGCCCCCGCCGGCTGCAGCCGCCGGACGGTGGCCGGCGACTACATCCGCTACCACTACAACGGCACCTTCCAGGACGGCGCCGCCTTCGACTCCAGGTGAACCCCCCCCCCGTAGCTTCAAACGGTACGGAGTGGCGTCCCCCTCCTCTCTCTCTGGGGGCCGTCAACACCCGCTCCTCCTTTTCGCAGCTACCAGAGGAACAGCACCTACAACACGTACGTGGGCATGGGCTACGTGATCCGGGGCATGGACCGAGCCCTGCTGGGGCTGTGCGTGGGCGAGAAGAGGCGGGTCACGGTCCCCCCTCACCTGGCCTACGGCGAAGCGGGAGTCGGTGAGTCCAAAAACCTCCGCGTTCGAGGGGGGTTAAACCCTCTCCGGTCCAGCAGAATCGCAGAACCCGGTTTGTTTTTTCTTTGCTTCGGCTACAGGAGATTTCATCCCCGGCTCCGCTGTGCTGATCTTTGACATCCACGTCATCGACTTCCACAACCCCAAAGACCCGGTGCAGATCAAAGTGACCCACAAGCCCCCGCAGTGCGATAAGACCAGCGAGGCCGACGATCTTATCCAGTACCGCTACAACTGCTCCCTGATGGACGGCACCCTGCTGTACTCCTCGTGAGCGCCCCCTGCCGTCCGTTCTGCTACACCCCGTCCTCCACCTCCACCTCCACCTCCGCCTCCATGCATGTAATCATTGCTGGCTCCTTGTCCGACAGATTTCTCCGGCCCTGAAACTAGACATAACCCATTTATGTATCCATGACAACAGCACGTATGCCTGCATGGCTGAAGGTTTTGGTACAAGGGAGAGTTTCATTAAGCTTTCTTTTTTTTGGGGGGTGAAAATCTCCGTGCTGAAAGTCTTATTGTTGCATTGCAGGGACCAGCAGGACGCGCCTTCGGTCACAACTCTGGGAGCCAATAAGGTCATCCTGGGACTGGAGGAGGGTCTGAAGGGCATGTGTGTGGGCGAGAGGAGGGAAGTGGTCATTCCTCCCCACTGGGCGCACGGTGAAGATGGAGGTCAGTCCCCAGGGTCTTACTCGTAAGCGCCCCTTTTTGATTTGACAAGTTCCTCCATCGTGTTCGTCTGATCCCCCATGCCTTCAGCCGGAGACGTTCCCAAAAGCGCGGTGCTGCTGTTCGAACTGGAGCTGTTGGAGCTGCAGAAAGGCGTGCCCGAAGGCTTCATGTTTGTGTGGCTCGGAGAGACCCCCGATCCCCTCTTTCAAGCTATGGACCTCAACGGGGACAAACAGGTTCCTCTTGATGAGGTGCGTGTCTGTGCCAGATTGGTGGTTTTTTTTTTTAGAAAGAACGTGGAAGTGAGCCGTTTTTGCTCTTCAGTTTTCAGACTTCATCACGCGGCAGGTTAAAGAGGGCAAGGGTCGTCTTCGGCCGGGGTTCGACGCCAGCACCATCATCAGGGACATGTTCGATAACCAGGACCAGAATAAGGACGGGAAGATCGTGGAAGACGAGGTGAAAATCAGGGTGGATGAGTCGGCCAGACGAGACGAGTTGTGAGGGGAAGGCCCTGGAGCTGCGGCGGCGGAGGACGAGTTTGTTGAAAATGTTTCAGAGGGAAAAATTCTGTGGAGCCTTTAAGACGGTCGGATTGCTGCTAAGTACTATTACCCATATGCAGACCCTTTATGGGTCCATTAGGTTTCAGCTGCATTGAATAAATGTCATCAGGATGCTGAAGCCAAAGTAGCCGACTTAAATGTATTAAATGTATAAAATGTTATTTATATCATTCTAACGCGTCGTCTCTTGTGGTCAAAGGACAACAGACTGTTCTCAAATAATTCATCCATCTTAAAAAAAGCAAACTTCTGCTCGATATAAAATGACTGAAAACTACAAGCTGTCCAATGTTTTGTGGGACCGTACAATAACAGATAATGGAAACTGATGTATTATGATGTGAAACTAAATAAAATTTTATAATAAAAAGACCAAACTCTACATTCTGTTTCAGTAACACGTAAAACCTCATTTTATGTCAGAAAATGTGGAAAACATGAGTTGAAAACTGGAACAAATTGAAAAGATAGACTGTAAAGGATTGACAAAAGATAGCTTTATTAAAACCTCTGTTCTGTAGAAACTGACATGACATTGGCACAGTGGTGTCACGTAAAAGAAACAGTAGCTAAAACATGTAATGTCATCTCAAAAACAAATGGACTGGAGGCTTTTTACATCCAAGAGAATGGAAAGGACTTTTAAACCTAACATGGAGTCAAGAGCTGCCTTTCATCTTGTGCGTTTCACTTTCCCATCATTGCATCCAATTAACACCAAAAGTGCATGAAAACGGGGGAGAAGAAACTTTACGTGCAGAGTCTGACAGTGAGCATTTGGTTTCAACCACATTCGGCACTTGGGCCAAAGAGTAAAGACTATGGGGGGGGTGTCTGGGGAGAGGCATTGTGAGCTAACACGGACTCATTCAGGTGTGTGTGGGTTTTAGCAGATCTTAAAAAAAAGAAAATCAATCATATAAGATTCCTAGCTCGTAATTAATGTTCCACTGGCACTGTGTGAGCATGGACCCCCTCCAGCTGGTGGTCCTGGAGTGTCCTACAGCCAGGGGGCATTCGGCAGTTTACTTACTTCCAGTGAGATAGTGGACAACAGCATTAGGGACGTCTAAGGTTTCATTTTCTATCAACACAATGTCATACGAGTCCAAATACGACTGTTTCCTCTCCTCCACCTAAAGAGACAACCACGTGACAGACATGTGACTGAGTATTGCGCTGCAGTTAGTAGAACAAGCATGAGAGCGAATTCTTTTTCCTCACCTTGTCATTGAGGTACCCAATCCGGAGGATGTTCTCCATGTCATGCACTCCATCGGCCATGGCCAGGTCTCCCAGGGAGTCTCCCATCAGCAGCACGTTGGGCCGAGTCCGCAGCTCCTGGAAGTGGCCTGTGTTGAGAAGTGCGCCTTCCCTCTTATTGTAGATATGGATCAACTCTCCCTTGAAGGCCTTCAACATTCCCTGTCCCAACAGAATGAGACCCTCATTATTTAAATCTGTACAGTTCGGCGAGGGGGGGGATTGCAGTATGTGGCCTGGAAACTCACAGATTCATCAAAGTCCATGTAATTGGAGAAGACGTTGACGTTGGAGTGGAAGACCCCGGCCTGCCGAATCACCTCTTCCAGAATGTCACCTATTCCGGCAGAGAAGATGAGCAGAGGGATGCAGTGCTTGTGCAGGTGGTCGAAAAAGAGCTTGAAACCGTCCCTGTTGAGAAATCCGCTGGTTATTAAAGTAGCCATATAAGGAGAAAGAAACTGCGATTACAAACAAAAATAGTTTTAGGTGTCCTTGCCTAAGCTTGGCCTCAGATTCATGCACCGCTGTGGCCAAGAGGTCTTTCCTGATCCTCTGTGCTACCAGGAGTTCATGGGCTTTGGTCCACCTGCGAGACAGCAGTTTGTCACTATGGAAAAGCGTATAAATGTCCCCCAAAACTAGCAAACCAACGCATTATTGAAAGCTCCCTTAATGTCTTACTATTATGAGTTATAATCAGAGATGAAGACTCACCACTCCACCATCAAAGGCAGCTTCTCCTCTATAGACCTTGAAGCATCAATCTCTATGGGGTAGTATGTCTTGAGAAGCTCATCCAGCTGCGAAGAACAAGACATTACTCTTATAACTCAATGACAGGGAAATATCAAGTAAACTCTAAACTGTGTTAAACCTGCTAAGTACACCAGAAAGGAGAATATATTTTTGATTTTTTATTTTTCTAAGTTTATCACCAGAGGAACACAGGGAGTTATCACTAGAGGATGGTTAACTACAGTTAGAGGTCAACCTAGCCATTTTTTTTCAGAAGAAAATAGAAAAAAGTTCAGTTTTTAACCATATTATGTTCATGCTTTGGCACTGTAGACCGTTTAAGAAAATATCAGATTTGAGAAGAATCATTGCCATCAACAGTTTTTTTTGCATTTTTCCTGTCAGCCACTAGATGGCAGGCAGCATTAGCCCATTTTTGTAGAATCCCATTTTTGGTGGAGGAAAACAAAACATTTGACTTTTTATTACAATATTAAATTTAAACTAAACATTTAAAACCCTTTAAAATTCCAAGTTATTTTCGACTACAGCTTATTTAACTACTTTAGCTTTAAATATGGAAATAAACATGCTGTTTAATCTAGACGATCACTGTTTAACGTGACAGCACATGTGCAAGGAAAGGGGAATTGATTTATCAAAAATCAATTAAACAAATCCATCCTTTTTCTGTTCATAGTCATCTTTCCTACCTTTATCTTGCAGTCGTCTGAGATGACTTTGCTGTTCTCGAGAATATCTAAAAAATAAGAATACAGTAAACATTTAGTCAAAACAACCCACGACAGTTGCCTTAAAAATGTTCAATACCAACACAATAAATGTATAAAAAAACTGCTTAAAATTCCTAATCTTTACAGTTAAAATATCTGGATTTGATTCCATGGTTGTGACTTTTAGTCTAGATTAAATTTGAAGCCAGTAGGCATTTACTGTTTTATCAGATTCAGCTAAAGATTTTTCTCTGGAGAGCTTATTGTCAGATTGATGATAACTGTAACATTAATTCTACTCTGTATGTCGCTTTGGATAAAAGAGTCAGATAAATGCATAAACATAAACATAAATATTGCAGATGATTTTGCCGATAGTGGACAAAACATTAGCATTAAACTCCTTAAGAATATTATGAAATAATGACATAACCGCATTCTGCAAAAAACACTTTCAACATCCATTATGTCACTTTAAGATGTTTGTTTAGTGATAAACTAAGGAAACAGTGAACGATCTTGACTGTACTTACTGTGGCAGGTGGGGCATCTTTTTCCATTGTATGCAAATCTTGTTAGGGTCATGTCAAAGTCTGAGATCACCTGGGATTGATGGGCATATTACATCAGGCTGACTGGCAGTGTAGTTTTCTGGTTAACCTCCATTATGATGAGCGTTCAAGGACATACCTGCAGAGTGTTGGAGCCAGCTTTCACCATAGCTTGCAGGGTCTCCTGTACCTTCTGAGGGTCCTTCATGCACACGTAGGAGTTGGACAGCTCAGGAATCTGTGCAGTTAAAGAATGCAAAGGTTAGCTTTGTATCAATTGAAACATTTCATTACATAACGCTTACAAGCTGGAGTTCTTTAGTCAACTCGTCATAAACTGTACTGAAACTGGCCTGGCACATATTACTACAATGCAAAGGTTTATCTGAAAAAGAATGTATTAGACACAAAACAAAACAAAAAAACGGTTTTCTTGTGCAACATGCAGCGGCAGTAGCTAGCTACAGCATTCAGTTAGCGGTAGCTTGAGTACGCTTTAGCTAGCAACCATGCTCATTCACAGGTATGTGAGAAAACATTTAAATATCGATGGCTTCCTGACTTGTATTACCATTTTTCTGCAAGGTTTAGCTGTTTCGGTGCACTTCGAGCAAAAGGTGTCAGTAACCGTTGAGCGAAAGTTGTGTTAGCCCGAAGACAGCGCTACCTTCCAGTACTTCGAAAGTGTCGGAATGGTGGTTTGCAGAGGCACACACATACTTAAATCACATTTTATTGATTTTTTCGAGTGTATTTTAATCGCATCATGTTTGAAAACAATTAAATAATCTCATTAGAATATCTCTGAAATAGCCTGTTTTTCTTTTTCATTTCAATTTTAACATGACAATACCCTTAACATTAATGTGTCAAGACGTTCAGGGAACTTGAAGGCAGCACTCTTTTGTAACAGAAATTGAGACCGTGTTATATTTCCGCCTGAAGCAAAGGCACAGATTTAAGGTTCCCAGCAGAATTGGGTTATTTTCTTGACAACAAAATGCACCCAAATATTTAGTGTGTTTTAAAGCTCCAGGTCATATATACATTTTAAATGAGTCAGGATAAGCTATAATAAGTGATCCAACTGAACGACTTTAGCAAAAGGACAAAAAATAGCCAAGGTGTGGCAGCTACAGGCATCTGCTCCTGCCTCTGCTAAAGCCCAACTAAGCATAAACACACTGCATGTCCACTTGTCTTAAAAAACAACTTTAATTGCAAGTGATGACATTAGCATTGCTTACATCCAATTGAAGGACACAATGTCAGAATATCACATGCAAAGCAAGTACATAGCTTATTCCAATTTGTATCTGCAGTGCTTTTTCTGTTGGTCATAAAGTGGAAATGAATATCATTTCTGCGCTCTGTAACCTTCAGGCCATAAGAAGCGCTGCACAGTTTCTGAATGTCAGTCATAACACATTCATACAACAATCCCCATCAATTTTACTTATAAGTTTAATCAATTTTCATTCCATCAAGTCTCTTTGGTGGGCAGCAGGTGACAACAGTTGATCACATCTACAACATATACCCAACTCGAGGCGAGTACAACAAAATACATCTTTCAGAGACATTAAATGTTTGAAACGATTCTGCCCACACAGCATCTTTTTCTTTTTGTCAAATATCAAATGGTACTTTCTGAGACATGGCTAAAAATAAGCATTTCTAAAATACAATCACCTTGTCTGATTTGACACAAATTAAATCTGCAAAGTCAAAGTGCGGTACAAACTTAGACTCATATGTATCTTTAAGACTTTACAATTTGATGTCAAAAAGTGCAGTTCCAGGGAAGCTTTTGCCATTCTTTGCAGAGCGCTAACTGAACCCCGTGCAAACATATGTCATAAACACGTCCTCACTCACTCAAACATTTTCTACACGTCTTCTATAACGTTAGGGAATACATTGATAAGTAGAGCACAAAAAGCGCAAACGAGAGGAATGATTATGCCGGTGCCAGTTTTTTGGTGCGCTGCGCAGTGGCAGAAGAGAATGCTTGAAGATCACGCATGAAGGAATGACTTAATAAAACCTCGTCACATCTCTTGGGATATTACAGTTAACTCAGTTCATGTCTTCAGAAATCCGGAGGACCAAGCGTTGTGTGCATAACAAAGATGGCTGTAATATACACAGTACAGCTGCGGAGGAGCAAAGGCAGGCAAAGTGTGGGATTTTACAATGGAAAAAAAAAGCCTCTGTTTCATTTCACAGTAGATGCTGTAAAAATAACAAGCGGAGCATTTTCTAATACCACTACGGTAGGCTTTTGGACCGATGTCCCTTCCAGAAGGGGATTGTCACAGTGTTACAATGGAATGATGACTCTTCATTACAAATAGAGGAATATTATCAGTTATCACTGAAGGCGCATGTTCTTCTGACTACAGGCATACAGCGAGGAATGTAAAATGTCATAGAAATGTATACATATATAGCTTTTTACTATGTATGTACAAATAGATAAAGAGAATCTACCCACATTAGTGACTGAAGCATATTGAGGTTTTGGCTGCCATTAGCACTCTTTTTCACAGGTTTATATCTACATCATCCCTCTCTGCTCGCTGACCACAAGCCGGTCAGCGCACACCTGCCCACACATTTACACACGTCGGTCGTCCACACAGCGCAGCGGGAGAGCCGGAGCCGGACAATGGAGGTGAATGAAATGCAGGACTGGAGCGACACAGGGGCCACGGCGGCGTTCGGCGGGGGGCGGGGTGACGGGCGGGACGGTGCCGCTGGACCTTCCTCCAGCGGCTCTGGGGGCGTGGCGGGGCGGGCGTGGACCCGCTCAGCACTCGATCTGGGACTGGAGCTGCCGGCGCAGCGTGAGGGTGCGGCGGTGCAGCTGCTGCATCTGCTGCATGCGGTCGCGCTGGCGGGCCAGGTTCTGGGGCATGGGGTAGCGCTGGCAGCCGTACAGGAAGCGGTAGGGGATGCGCACGTGGCAGGCGGTGGCCCGGCAGCGAGGCTGCGGCATGGGCGGCAGCAGCATCCAGCGCTTCCTCTCGGCGCAGTAGCGGTAGGCCTCCTTCCGGTACTGCTTGTCCACGTCGTCGCTGTTCTTCCAGCCCCCGATGATGAAGACGTCCTCGTCGAAGTGGCAGATGGCGGCGCCCTCGATGCTGGTCACCTCCGGGGGCAGGCTCTCCAGGATCTCGTCCGAGATGCGCACGCTGATCTTCTGCCGGGCCACCTCGTCCCGCACCGCGTAGCTCTTGGGGCAGCAGGAGGCGGTGTGGTAGAAATTAGTGGAGGCCACGGCCATCTGGAAGATGCAGTAGTTGTCGATGAGCGGCAGCGAGTCCACGTCCTGCCACTGCCGGCTCTCCGTGTCGTAGCGCGTGGTCACCGTCTTCAGCCCGTCCTCGTTATCCGTGTCCACGGGCGTGCGGGCCGTCACGTACACGTAGCGGTCCTCCACGCTCACCGCCTTCACGTCCCGCAGGATCTTGGGGGCGGACTCCAGGTTGTGCCACTTGTCCTGCTCGGGCTCGTACACGCTGACGTCTTTGAAGCCCGGGCTGAAGTTGCCGTGGCCGCCGATGCTGTACAGGATGTCCTTGATGCAGGTGAGGCCGAACGAGTGCTTGCGCGTGGTCAGGTTGCTCACCTGCTCCCAGGTGTTCCGGTTGGGGTTGTAGCGCTCCACCGTCTTGGCGAAGCCCGGCTCCATGGAGCCGGCCACGTAGACGTGGGACTCGGTGGCGGCGATGGCGTGGCCGTCCAGGTGGTTGTGGATGTGGGGCAGGTTGACCCAGCGGTCCTCGTAAATGAAGTAGCCCACGCACTCGCTCAGGTAGTCCCCTCCCTCCGACACGCCCCCCACCACCATGATCACGTCCATATTCTGCCCGAAGCGAGGCTGGAAAGAGGCCATGTGGGAGGACCAAAACTCCATGTCTGCCGATTTCAGGTTCTCGAAGCGGATGGCGTGGCCCTCCACGGCCTCCGACACCAGCCGGAGGCAGGCCTCGTTGGCCGCCACCAGCCGCTCGTTCTTCACCACCCGGGTCAGGTAGGTGGGCTTGATTTGGGGCAGCCTGAGGAGCCGAAACAGCTCCTCGAAGTAGCGGCCGCGCTCCTCCGGGTTCTTCTGCACCCACTTCACCACCGCCTCGAACAGAACCTCCTCCGAGTCCACCGTGATCTCCGCGTCCGAGAGCCAGTCCCGCACCAGGTGGAAGGGGAGCGTGTAGAACTCCTCGTCCTGGATGACTTTGTGGAAGTTGCGGCGGATCATGTCGGCCGCCCGCAGAGCCAGCTGGTCCAGGGTGTACATGTGGGCCAGGCTGTGCACGGCCACGCAGTTGGTCAGGCTCAGCTTCTTCTTGAGGAACTCGCCACAGAAATCTTTCAGCTGCACCAGCAGAAACCTGGAATGCAGCAGAGAAAAGGAGATTACACGCAGAGAACGAGCACTCCTCCCCGTTCCCTGCTTTCCCCCTAATGGCTTACATCTTATTTTCTGCAGACAGTGCAACAAAAATAAAAGACTTCAAATCCAGATCAATGCTGCACGGGGCCTGCTGCATCAGCCATCACTGTTCACTCTCAAACTCGAGTCCTACCTGTCCGCCAGCTCCAGCACCTCGTGCACGTTGCAGGTGCTAACGCGTATCTCTCCCGTGTACATGTACTGGATGACACTTTCCACCGTCTCCGGGTCCGGACCCAGCTCCGAGCTCCACTCCTTCATCTCCACCCGTCCGGTCAGCGACTCGGAGAACTGTCCCCCCAGCAGCGGGGTGAAGTAGTCGGTGGCCGCGGCCAGCACCGACCGGTGGGCGGAAAACTGGCAGCTCTGGACGCTGCCGGTAGCCGCCCCGCTGCTAAAGGCTAGCGTCACGTCGCAGAACAAGCCCTGCTTCCTCTGCTCGTTCTGCCGCCGAGACAGCTCCGAGCAGTGGGAGGAGGAGGTGAAGTCCTCGGCCTCTTCCGCGTCCCCGTCCCCCGCGAGCGCGCTGGGCGTCCCGGAGCCTCCGCCGCCTCCTCCTCCGCCTCCGCCGCCGCCGCTGCTCCGGGCGGAGTCCTCCGGGTTCGGGGCCGCCGCTGCCATTCTGCTGCCGGCGCTGGAGGTGAGCAGTGGTGGTGGGGTGTGAATTAAATTAGCGAAGGGAAGGAGGCGACGTACGCAGCCACACATACATGAAGTCCGGGCGGGGAGCGACGGCGGGGCGGGAGACGTACTCGTGACGTCATATCCGTGATTCGGTGGGTCCCGTTCAGCCGAGGAGCGTTTAGTCTCAAATGGGACCTCGATTTAGTATTTACTGGGTTTAGACAAATCTGTCCATTGTAAATATGACCTATTAAATGTTAAACCTGTGTAGTTATC